GTGTGTGGAGGCGCACTTGCTGGCTGAAATACGTCCTGCAAGTGGTGTCCACCTGTTCACTGGAAAGGCTAAGAGTTAGGGGTAACATGATAGAGGTTTACAAGTGGATGAATGGACATAACAAAGGGGATATTAATAGGGTATTAAAAGTATCAACACAAGACAGAACACGAAACAATGGGTATAAATTGGATAAGTTTAGATTTAGGAAAGACTTGGGTAAATACTAGTTCGGTAACAGGGTTGTTGATTTGTAGAACTAATTACCGCGTAACGTGGTGGAGGTCGGGTCCCTCGATTGTTTCAAGCGTGGGTTGGACATGTATATGAGTGGGTTTGGCTGGTTATAGATAGGAGCTGCCTCGTATGGGCCAACTGGCCTTCTGCAGTTACCTTTCTTCTTATGTTCTGCCTAGCCAGCCAGAAGTGAGCTGGCTGGTCAGTATTCGTGTGGGACTGAGCCGGAGGTCATTGTTGACAGGTCTGGTGAAGGAAGCACCAGCTCATAAAACTGGGTAAACCCGACCACCTGTTAATTTGTTTGGTCTGTCGGGTATCTCAATTAGTGGCAAACAAGTTACTTCGTTATAAGCTTCTAAGTGTAGAGTAAGCAACTGTAAACTTGTTCGCAGACACACATAATGTGGCACAATGGACAAATCAATATATACTTTTGACACAAAAAGCAATCATGTACACTGATGAAGATGTAGCAAACTGCAAAGCACTTTGGAGTTTAAAGTATTTGCTGGGGTCGAAAATGTGGCGAGCATCAAACTGATTTATGCTGTTTGAAGCAGAATTCGAGCTGAATATCGGGTAATACTGAATATCCGTGTTCCACAGTGTTGCTACAACACCCTCCGTGTTCCACAGTGTTGTTACAACACCCTCCGTGTTCCACAGTGTTGTTACAACACCCTCCGTGTTCCACAGTGTTGTTACAACACCCTCCGTGTACCACAGTGTTGCTACAACACCCTCCGTGTTCCACAGTGTTGTTACAACACCCTCCGTGTTCCACAGTGTTGTTACAACACCCTCCGTGTTCCACAGTGTTGTTACAACACCCTCCGTGTTCCACAGTGTTGTTACAACACCCTCCGTGTACCACAGTGTTGCTACAACACCCTCCGTGTTCCACAGTGTTGTTACAACACCCTCCGTGTTCCACAGTGTTGTTACAACACCCTCCGTGTTCCACAGTGTTGTTACAACACCCTCCGTGTTCCACAGTGTTGTTACAACACCCTCCGTGTTCCACAGTGTTGTTACAACACCCTCCGTGTTCCACAGTGTTGTTACAACACCCTCCGTGTTCCACAGTGTTGTTACAACACCCTCCGTGTTCCACAGTGTTGTTACAACACCCTCCGTGTTCCACAGTGTTGTTACAACACCCTCCGTGTACCACAGTGTTGTTACAACACCCTCCGTGTTCCACAGTGTTGTTACAACACCCTCCGTGTTCCACAGTGTTGTTACAACACCCTCCGTGTTCCACAGTGTTGTTACAACACCCTCCGTGTTCCACAGTGTTGTTACAACACCCTCCGTGTTCCACAGTGTTGTTACAACACCCTCCGTGTTCCAGTGTTGTTACAACACCCTCCGTGTTCCACAGTGTTGTTACAACACCCTCCGTGTTCCACATTGTTGCTACAACACCCTCCGTGTTCCACAGTGTTGCTACAACACCCTCCGTGTTCCACAGTGTTGCTACAACACCCTCCGTGTTCCACAGTGTTGCTACAACACCCTCCGTGTTCCACAGTGTTGCTACAACACCCTCCGTGTTCCACAGTGTTGCTACAACACCCTCCGTGTTCCACAGTGTTGCTACAACACCCTCCGTGTTCCACAGTGTTGCTACAACACCCTCCGTGTTCCACAGTGTTGCTACAACACCCTCCGTGTTCCACAGTGTTGCTACAACACCCTCCGTGTTCCACAGTGTTGCTACAACACCCTCCGTGTTCCACAGTGTTGCTACAACACCCTCCGTATTCCACAGTGTTGCTACAACACCCTCCGTGTTCCACAGTGTTGCTACAACACCCTCCGTGTTCCACAGTGTTGCTACAACACCCTCCGTGTTCCACAGTGTTGCTACAACACCCTCCGTGTTCCACAGTGTTGCTACAACACCCTCCGTGTTCCACAGTGTTGCTACAACACCCTCCGTGTTCCACAGTGTTGCTACAACACCCTCCGTGTTCCACAGTGTTGCTACAACACCCTCCGTGTTCCACAGTGTTGCTACAACACCCTCCGTGTTCCACAGTGTTGCTACAACACCCTCCGTGTTCCACAGTGTTGCTACAACACCCTCCGTGTTCCACAGTGTTGCTACAACACCCTCCGTGTTCCACAGTGTTGCTACAACACCCTCCGTGTTCCACAGTGTTGCTACAACACCCTCCGTGTTCCACAGTGTTGCTACAACACCCTCCGTGTTCCACAGTGTTGCTACAACACCCTCCGTGTTCCACAGTGTTGCTACAACACCCTCCGTGTTCCACAGTGTTGCTACAACACCCTCCGTGTTCCACAGTGTTGCTACAACACCCTCCGTGTTCCACAGTGTTGCTACAACACCCTCCGTATTCCACAGTGTTGCTACAACACCCTCCGTGTTCCACACTTCTTTAAAGTGTGGAACATTTAAACTAACATAATACTTCAATGGGAAATTTTCAAATCGGTGATATGAATGGAAGCACTGTTAGCTGTGCTTGATCGTTTCTAATTCACTCAAATAATTTCAACCTACCCTGGACAATTTCTATCTACCCTGGACCATTTCTACCAATCCCTGGACAATTACTACCTAACCCTGGACCATTTCTACCTAACCCTGGACAATTTCTACTTACCCTGGACAATTACTACCTATCCTGTACAGTTACTGCCTACCCTGGACAATTTCTACCTAACCCTGGACAATTTTTATCTACCCTGGAGAATTTCTACCTAACCCTGGACAGTTACTACCTACCCTGGACAATTACTACCTACTCTGGACAATTACTACCTACTCTGGACAGTTAATACCTACCCTGGACAATTTCTACCTAACCCTGGACAATTACTACCTACCCTGGACAATTTCTATCTACCCTGGACAATTACTACCTACCCTGGACAATTTCTACCAAACCCTGGACAATTTCTACCAAACCCTGGACAATTACTACCTACCCTGGACAATTACTACCTAACCCTGGACAATTTCTACCTAACCCTGGACAATTTCTACCAAACCCTGGACAATTACTACCTACCCTGGACAATTACTACCTAACCCTGGACAATTTCTACCTAACCCTGGACAATTACTACCTAACCCTGGACAATTACTACCTACCCTGGACAATTACTACCTAACCCTGGACAATTTCTACCTAACCCTGGACAATTTCTACCTAACCCTGGACAATTACTACCTACCCTGGACAGTTACTACCTACCCTGGACAATTTCTACCTAACCCTGGACAATTACTACCTACCCTGGACAATTACTACCTACCCTGGACAATTACTACTTACCCTGGACAATTACTACCTACCCTGGACAATTACTACTTACCCTGGACAATTACTACTTACCCTGGACAATTTCTACCTAACCCTGGACAATTTCTACCTAACCCTGGACAATTTCTACCTAACCCTGGACAATTTCTACCTAACCCTGGACAATTTCTACCTAACCCTGGACAATTACTACCTACCCTGGACAATTACTACCTAACCCTGGACAATTACTACTTACCCTGGACAATTTCTACCTAACCCTGGACAATTTCTACCTAACCCTGGACAATTTCTACCTAACCCTGGACAATTTCTACCTAACCCTGGACAATTTCTACCTAACCCTGGACAATTTCTACCTAACCCTGGACAATTACTACCTACCCTGGACAATTACTACCTAACCCTGGACAATTACTACTTACCCTGGACAATTTCTACCTAACCCTGGACAATTTCTACCTAACCCTGGACAATTTCTACCTAACCCTGGACAATTTCTACCTAACCCTGGACAATTTCTACCTAACCCTGGACAATTTCTACCTAACCCTGGACAATTTCAACCTAACCCTGGACAATTTCTACCTAACCCTGGACAATTACTACCTACCCTGGACAATTACTACCTAACCCTGGACAATTTCTACCTAACCCTGGACAATTTCTACCTAACCCTGGACAATTTCTACCTAACCCTGGACAATTACTATCTATCCCTGGACAATTTCTACCTATCCCTGGACAATTACTACCTACCCTGGACAATTACTACCTAACCCTGGACAATTACTACCTACCCTGGACAATTACTACCTAACCCTGGACAATTACTACCTAACCCTGGACAATTACTACCTACCCTGGACAATTACTACCTATCCCTGGACAATTACTACCTATCCCTGGACAATTACTACCTATCCCTGGACAATTACTACCTAACCCTGGACAATTACTACCTACCCTGGACAATTACTACCTACCCCTGGACAATTACTACCTATCCCTGGACAATTACTACCTACCCTGGACAATTACTACCTACCGTGGACAATTACTACCTACCCTGTACAATTACTACCTATCCCTGGACAATTACTACCTATCCCTGGACAATTACTACCTACCCTGGACAATTACTACCTAACCCGGGACAATTACTACCTACCCTGGACAATTACTACCTAACCCTGGACAATTACTACCTAACCCTGGACAATTACTACCTACCCTGGACAATTACTACCTATCCCTGGACAATTACTACCTATCCCTGGACAATTACTACCTATCCCTGGACAATTACTACCTAACCCTGGACAATTACTACCTACCCTGGACAATTACTACCTACCCTGGACAATTTCTACCTAACCCTGGACAATTTCTACCTAACCTTGGACAATTACTACCTATCCCTGGACAATTACTACCTATCCCTGGACAATTACTACCTACCCTGGACAATTTGTTGGGTGCCGGGATGTTGTTGGGCGTCCATTCGTTGATTTTAATGTCTTTGTAGTCAATCTTCCACAGCAGACTGTCCAGCTCCTGCTCGTAACGCCAGTTCCTGTGACGAGACACAAGTACAGGTGAGAAGGGTTGGTTATGGTGGTGGTGGTAGGTGGTGGTAGGGAGCCTTAGCCACCACCAGGGATGGTTATGGTGGGTGGTGGTAGGGAGCCTTAGCCACCACCAGGGATGGTTATGGTGGTAGGTGGTGGTAGGGAGCCTTAGCCACCACCAGGGATGGTTATGGTGGGTGGTGGTAGGGAGCCTTAGCCACCACCAGGGATGGTTATGGTGGTAGTGGGTGGTGGTAGGGAGCCTTAGCCACCACCAGGGATGGTTATGGTGGTGGGTGGTGGTAGGGAGCCTTAGCCACCACCAGGGTTGGTTATGGTGGTGGGAAACCAGTCTTCTCAACTTTCCCTCCAGAAAAAACCTCTCTCGGGGAAGTCCCTTGCCTGTTAGGATGTTCCATGTCTGCTGTGATGTCCCATGTCTGCTGTGATGTCCCGTGTCTGCTGTGATGTCCCGTGTCTGCTGTGATGTCCCGTGTCTGCTGTGATGTCCCGTGTCTGCTGTGATGTCCCGTGTCTGCTGTCAGATACAGGTGTCCCTCAATTCACAAGACCTATGTGTCCCTTGCCTGGTGTCAGACCTGGTGTCCCTGGCCGGGTGTGGGACACAGGTGTCATGTATGTCTCTCACAGAACTTGAATACTACTCTGTCATTGTTAATTTTTAGGTTTGGGTTTTCATGCATCTGATGTGCCTGATCAACCAGGCTGTGATTCATAGGCCAGGTTGTGAGCAGCCGTGTCCCAGAGTACGGTTGACCAGAGCTCCAACCAGGAGGCCTGGTCAGAGACTGGGCCGCAGGGTCGTTGATCATCGGAACTATCAAAGGGTAAGGTATATATATCACCCCAAATACCATAGGTTTAATCCCCTAATTTCAAGTTAATAGCCTGATCGCGCATTCATGGTTGTAATTGGAAGTGTTAATTATTCACTTTCGTTCGTTTATCGTCTGAAAATCATTGTATGCATGCAGTTGATGGGGGGAGGGGGGGGGGGTTGACTGCACGTCGTGGGGGTATTTCTTCCTCTTCACCTCTTCCCTATCCCATAACCCCATTGGCACATTCCATATCTATAAAGCTCCTAACACTAATCCTGGCCTGAAACGCTTCCTAGAGGGTTGTAATAGAACCGATGGGTACTCCACGAGACACAAGTATCTGTGTGATATTCCGAGTGTGTGTCTCAGCGAAAGGAGGGGAATTTAAAAGTAAATTAAGGATCCCAATTTGTGGAACGACCTTCCAAATGTGATTATAAGCTCTTCTCCCCTCAACCAGTTTTTAAAGCAAAACTAAGAAATGTGTAATTATCATGAAACAGATTTCAATCATATATACTCGTACAAAATAAGTAAGTTTTGTGTTTGTTTTTATTGCAATATTAGATGGGCATTGTGCATGGATCAATACAGTACACAGGTCTACCAAACACACGCTTCAACATCTTCCAACACACACACACACACTTCCCATTTATCCCCCACCCCCCAACTCTCTTGATATCCAACCCCCAAACACACACATTCATTATCCCCCTCCCGAAATACTTTCCCCGCCTCCTCACAGCACTTAGACACCCTCCCCATCTCCACCCTCCCTGCTCACACACACGCAATGCCTGTTTCCCCCTTCACTGTAAAAAAGATTTCGTAATAATTTTCTCCGTCACTTTAACTAGAATGTCCCTTAATTCATAATTAAGGGTCCTTAAATGACCCTGAATGGAAATTTGTCATCAGAATATGTTTTCAAAGTCGGTATCTGAATTTACTAAAATTTCAAGTAATGTTTTGGACCTGGGGGGCAGAACATTTTACATCCACAGACCTCGTAAAGGTGGGGCATTGGGGTCGGTTTCCACTTAAGGGGGGTTACTGGGCTGACACAGACTCATCTGTGACACTCCCGATAAAATTGCCATTAATCCTGAAAATTTTAATGAGACTTACCACATGTGTCTGGCCTCCAAGCATGGACAGACATTCTCCGTGATATGGTATAAATACTATAACAGTTCTGCAGCAAACACTGCAGATTCCGTTGTTGGGGTGAAAGGGGTTACCTGGCAGTGCCCGGGACATGATCTCTGCTGCAGAAATTTGGAAACCCCGAGACAATGTAATCATATCAGTGACTCCAGCAGAGACGAGAGCCACTGCCTTGGAATACCTGCATTTTGTGAAGATGTTGATTACTTCCTACCTTTACAACGCCTTACTCTCATAGTATAGAATAAAGTAAATGATTAAATAAAACAAAGACTCTCATAAATATCACATAATATATTTGCTCTCCTTGACAAGAGAGTGTACAAAAGAAAATGCATTAGATTATACGGCCAAACATGGGATTTTAAACAGCAATGAAGAGGAAAGGTTCCTGTCTGCAGCTGCGGTGTTAAAAGCCTGTGAGTGTTATTATATTTTTATTATGAAACTTTTAGACTGCAGCTGCAACAGAAAGGAACTTGTTTCGTGTACAGGTGGGCTTCACATCTTTATACTCCCTCCAGCTTTCTTCCAACTACGGTTGGTCCTCTCTTAACTCCTTGTTACGTACTGTGGCTCATGTTATCCTACCCATCTCCCCCACGAGACGTTCTGTGGCTCATATTATAGTACCCATCTCCCCCACGAGACGTTCTGTGGCTCATGTTATCCTACCCATCTACCCTACGAGACGTTCTGTGGCTCATGTTATCCTACCCATCTCCCCCACGAGACGTTCTGTGGCTCATGTTATCCTACCCATCTCCCCCACGAGACGTTCTGTGGCTCATGTTATCCTACCCATCTCCCCCACGAGACGTTCTGTGGCTCATGTTATCCTACCCATCTCCCCCACGAGACGTTCTGTGGCTCATGTTATCCTACCCATCTCCCCCACGAGACGTTCTGTGGCTCATGTTATCCTACCCATCTCCCTCACAAGACGTTCTGTGGCCCATGTTTTCCTACCCATCTCCACCACGAGACGTTCTGTGGCTCATGTTATCCTACCCATCTCCCCCACGAGACGTTCTGTAGCTAATGTTATCCTACCCATTACCCCCCCCCCCCCATCACGAGACATTCTGTGACTCATGTTATCCTATCCATTCCCTCCCCCCCCCCTCATGATGTACTGTGGCTCATTTTATCCTACCAATCCCCCCCCTCCCCCATCACGAGACGTACTGTGGCTCAGGTTGCCCCATCCACCAATCTATACGTACCGTTGATGAAGTTGTCCATCATACCACATCTGAACGTACTGGTGATCAAGTTCCCCCTTCCCACTTTGGTCAATATTTGTGTCACATTTGTGTTATAACTGGTTAACATATATGTGTTACACAACACACATATATGCTCACATATTACATTGTGTAATATGTGAGCATATAACTGTCATAAAGTCTCGGCTTAAGCTGGAAACATTAGTCCTTTACCTGTTGTATAATCAAGGGGAGTGTTTTATATTGCCGATAATTTCAATTAATCTCTGGCGAATGGGTTTACTAATAATAAGAATACAAATGCAGAGGAAATGACACCAGCGTCAGCTATGTGTTACACAACATTTATTGAGTATTATCAGGATACAACAGAGTGCAACACTAGCTGTGTTGCTGATATAGAAGTCAAAGTATTATCAGGATATCACAAAGGGAAACTGTGTGATATCCCATGCTGTGAGTTTATGACATCAGTCTAGTCCCTTACTGTGAGTTTATGACAACAATCAAGTCCCTTACTGTGAGCTTATGACAACAATCTAGTCCCTTACTGTGAGCTTATGACAACAATCTAGTCCCCTTACTGTGAGCTTATGACAACAATCAAGTCCCCTTACTGTGAGCTTATGACAACAATCTAGTCCCCTTACTGTGAACTTATGACATCAATCTAGTCCCCTTACTGTGAGCTTATGACAACAATCTAGTCCCCTTACTGTGAGCTTAAGACAACAATCAAGTCCCCTTACTGTGAGCTCATGACAACAATCTAGTCCCCTTACTGTGAGCTCATGACAACAATCTAGTCCCCTTACTGTGAGCTTATGACAACAATCTAGTCCCCTTACTGTGAGCTTAAGACAACAATCAAGTCCCCTTACTGTGAGCTCATGACAACAATCTAGTCCCCTTACTGTGAGCTCATGACAACAATCTAGTCCCCTTACTGTGAGCTCATGACAACTATCTAGTCCCCTTACTGTGAGATTATGACAACAATCAAGTCCCCTTACTGTGAGCTTATGACAACAATCAAGTCCCCTTACTGTGAGCTTATGACAACAATCTAGTCCCCTTACTGTGAGCTCATGACAACTATCAAGTCCCCTTACTGTGAGCTTATGACAACAATCAAGTCCCCTTACTGTGAGCTTATGACAACAATCTAGTCCCCTTACTGTGAGCTCATGACAACTATCTAGTCCCCTTACTGTGAGCTCATGACAACTATCTAGTCCCCTTACTGTGAGCTCATGACAACTATCTAGTCCCCTTACTGTGAGATTATGACAACAATCAAGTCCCCTTACTGTGAGCTTATGACAACTATCTAGTCCCCTTACTGTGAGATTATGACAACAATCAAGTCCCCTTACTGTGAGCTTATGACAACAATCTAGTCCCCCTTACTGTGAGCTCATGACAACTATCTAGTCCCCTTACTGTGAGCTCATGACAACTATCTAGTCCCCTTACTGTGAGCTCATGACAACAATCTAGTCCCCTTACTGTGAGCTCATGACAACTATCTAGTCCCCTTACTGTGAGCTCATGACAACAATCTAGTCCCCTTACTGTGAGCTCATGACAACTATCTAGTCCCCTTACTGTGAGATTATGACAACAATCAAGTCCCCTTACTGTGAGCTTATGACAACAATCTAGTCCCCTTACTGTGAGCTTATGACAACAATCTAGTCCCCTTACTGTGAGCTTAAGACAACAATCAAGTCCCCTTACTGTGAGCTTATGACAACAATCTAC